CGCTGCCCTGCGCGCGCGCGTGCTCCGTGTGTGCGTGTGACGCGAAACGTGCAGAAAATTTGGCCCTTGATGTAAATTTTGAGTTAATTTAAGGGAATTCCCTTTGAATTAGCGGGATTTAGTTCGACACCCAACAACACCAAACACCCTTTTTGACGTGAAATATAACGTACGTTGGAATTAAAAATGTAGGAAGTGTACAATCCAGTTACTTCTACGCAAAACGTATTTTCTCAAGTTTTCCGCAGAGGTTTTTTTTTCACCTTTTGTAAACACTACAGGCAAGTTTTTCGCTGCTCTTTTGCTCACCCTCAACTGCGTGCGTTTTATCATCCGATTATGTAGAGCGAGCCCGAGCCGAGCCCCGCCTTCGCCACGCGCGGGGCTGCGTTCGAACGGGCGCGCTCTGTCGGAAATGGCACGCACTTGGAGGGGCGCATTCATGGGGCGTGGAAGTGAATGTGAATGTAGATGCGAGTGCCGTGAATGCGACCTTATCCACATTCACGTCCATTTTTCAATTCCTGCCAGGCTGAACATCAGTCCTCACCCGCCCACGCACCTCAACTCCACACCAAGCAGAAAAACTATTTTGGTCAGGTGTGCTTGAACACGTGGAAATCCACGGAAAACAATGTCACTCACCAGCAGGTAAGTGAAATAATTCAATTTCACGTCCCCAAGTATGTGAATGGTCGTACACACATCTGCAGGTGTGTGAAATTTCCTGTCGCACACCTGCAGGAACGTGTGTGAACTTTTCCACTCACCTGCACGTGTGCGACGTTCGTACTCTTGGATTTTTAGTGCATACCTAGGATAACGCACGATCGCCGAAGACATTTTGTTTCGTGGTGTGATGTGAAACAAATGACAGGAAAGGGGGCCAAATCGGTTCTCAGCTGTCAGCACATCGCCTTCCATAACTGTTGCCGATTCTGGCCACTGTCGTCGGGGATTGGCCTCGTTTGGGGAGGCTGACTAACGATTCGCGCCGCGCACCGCGCACATTGACGGCTGCCGATTAATTCTCCGCCGTCGTCTCTCTCGCTCTCGTTGAGGGTGGCCCCGGCCGCGGTCTCGCTCGCACTCGCATTGCGTATCGCACGCGACGGAGCAGCCCTCTCCAGGCGTGCCAACATGACAGTCGGATTGCAATCAAGGAGATGGCTTATTCCCGACGAGATATGGGTCTTGCCACGGACCGGCGAGGGGTATTAGCAATCAATGGACATATATGTGTGTGTGCTCATCAGGGCTCTGCAAAAAGAATGTGTTTAGGAGCGGTTCGCGATTTGTAAAATGGCGCAGTATACGGGCGTCATTAGCCCTGCGAGATGGCGTTTTTTCGCCATGTTGGGTTGGGCTATCTTTCCAACGACCTCTTTAGCAGGGCACGCGTGCAGCCGCCCCCGCCACGGGCGCTGCCGGCACCCCGCCCCGCGCCCCGGCCTCACCCCACCCCGCGAAGCCACGCCGAGCCGTGCACGGGGGTGAATATTTTACTCACACTTGGTATAGCCGGCTCGAGTGATGAGTTTACACTGACTGCGGGACTAGTGCTGTTCGGCGCCGAGCAAAGTAAAGTGCACGCCATGAATCTTTCATACGCCGTAAGAGCGTCGGCACGCCGCTCAACACACAACACCATATTGCGCACAACGGGCTAGTTTCAAAAATCAAACTCTCTCACCGAAGCATACTCCCACCAGTCGGAACGTAAACATATAAAACAATCGCCAATACTGTGACCATAATCATCGTGATTTCCTGAAAGTGTGTACAGTATGTGTCCTTCCATTGAAACAAACAGTTCTCGTTAAGCAAAAAACCACTTGCTCGCGGCTATGGATCACCCACTACCTGGAAACATTTTTTCCGACAGCACTATGTGCGCCGCGCGCTGTGCTGCCTCCGCGGGCGGCACGGGGGCGGCTGTCAAGGGAAGTGCCCCCCGCCGCCAGCTGGGGGTGTGTGGGCTCTGAGGTGTGAAGTAGCGACGGCTCCACTGTGGTGTGCGGGGGGCCGCCCATAGGGCCGCCCGCGGCCGCGGCGCTCGCGCTCGGCGCTGAGCGGCTACGAGAGTCAACAACCTTGGCGCCAAGCGGGCGTCAAGCGCGGAGGAGGCGACAACAAAGGTACGCAAAAAGGAGCCGGGAGGGGGAGGAAGACGGACGGGAAAGACTCAAAGCCCCGCGCTTCCCTTTACCGAGCGGTGAAATTTTCATACGCAATGTGCAATGTGCCTAAACTGTGCAAATCGGAAGAGGGGGCAAGCGGAGGGGAATTTGCGGTGTGCGCGGATCCGATGAGGGGGAGAGCGGGGGAGAGAGTGCGCGAGCTAGGGCAAAGCGATAGAAGTGAGAGACAGGCGGGAAAGGTGCAGGCAGGGAAAGGGGAGCGCGAGCGGGAGGGAGGGGGAGGGGAGGAGGGACGAGGAGGAAGGGGGTGGAAGTGAGTGCATAGGAGAAATTAATCAAACAGCCACGCCACGGGCTATTCGTTTGATAAAAATCGCTTTTTATTTCATTTGAAAGGACAGGCGCCGCGTGGAATGTGACCTCTACGTGACGTGTCATGTTGCGTGTCATTATTTCACAGTAACAATTATTACAGCATGGGACCACCACCTACGTTCATTTCTCGCCTGTCTCTCATTATTTATTATTGAAACTTTTTTTCCGGGTAATATTAATGGCCACAGTCAGGGGTATGCCTCCACACCCCACCACCCACAGCGGGCGCGAAAAAAAAAAAAAAAGGCTCAGATGGCACGTTGCGGCCGCATATGGATTGATCCACGGGCAGCATGTGTGAGGGCCATCAGTTCCACACTGTTTTCAAATTTGGCAAACACAATTTTACAGGAAGTTTCGAGGTGATACGATACACATTTCATTTCTGATGCGATTCAACAGTTTCTTTTTCTTTCCTACCCTAAGAAATCGTTAAAGTTTGCAAACTTTGAAAACCCAAAGCGGGCGGTGCGCATCTTCTACTGTTTGCTCTACCGCCCACGTTTTCGAAAAACACTGCGTGGGGGAAAATGTGACGGTGGCTTGTTGCCACAAGGTGATGTATCTTACTTGTGTATGGCCGCCGGGCATGCTCTGCTGCTCCTGCTCTTTTTGCCCCTAGTCGATTCAATTAAGGGTGGGTGCTGCTGCTGTCCCTTGTTACCAAAGTCCTGCGCGTCTTCGGCGTGTCCACCGCTTTGTCAACGTCACCCTTTTCCTTTTTTGCTCTCTCTTCTATCTCTTTCGCTCGCTCAGTCGCTATTTGTCCATTCTCTTGCTCTCTCCTAGCTGTCTGCCACTCTCTCCCCCTCTTCTTCAATTCATCCCTCTACCTCACTTTGTCTGATGCAGAAAGTGTTATGACTCCAGAAATAACAGAACTTGTCTGGTTGCGTACTAATTTAGACGATATAATATTCTGTAAAATTGCTGAACTCTTCCATTTCCTAATTTGTAAAACAACAAGTTTTTTCCCCTCTCGTTGCCCTTTCCTGTCTCATGCGATGATCGTCAGTGCACACCCTACTCTCTCTTAGACCCCACCATCTCTCTTTCGCTCCTTTCTCTTCGCTCGGAGCGTGAGATGCGAAGCACGGACTGGAAGCCATATAAGCCCGTACCAGATTGGCAGGCTGATATGATGGCAACGCCAATAGTTGTTGGTCTGGAGCGGAAGGTCTTGCCGAAGCGCGGTGTTTCTTTGGGATCAGGTCAATGACACTTTTGAGGCTGGTGAAAGTAAGAACTCGGAGTTCAATTGCATGGAACATTTTATTGCAAAAATAAATTAACTTTCACCCTTGCTCATATTAAACCCACAAAACAGTAACAATATCTATCTTTCAAATAAATTTTTAAATAAAACACCCACCCGTCACTAAGGTATATACAAATCAGTGCATGATAATCAGACTTGCTACTGACAGCTTTGAGCAAATGTATTTAAAACAATAGTTCATGTTTTCGTCTTCTGCTGGTTACACAGTCTGCCTTTTAATAAAAACACTAAAAAAGCATTGGTATCCGCAGCAGAGGATCGGGTATATAGTGGATATTCAAGTTTTACAGTTGTTCACTAAAAATGAGGAGGGACATTTGTCGCTCTCAGGAGGGTGACATTTTCAATCCACTTCCCTGAGAGCGAAATTTGTTTTCATCGCTCCATTTGAGTGATGACTAGAAACATCGCTCAATTTGAATCTTTTTAGCGACACTTTCCGTTACGGATACGACTTTTTTAAGTCGTTTTCGCGAACCTCGCTCTAACAGAGCGATGTAGAATTGCGTTGGTAGATATGGGAAGAAAATGTGATTCCCATTTACAGAGTGATGACGTAAAGCTAACTATGGCATGACAAAGTGGTGCCCGATGCTCTGGCCAAAAGTACACTTTTTAGTCATTTTCAGGATTATTTTTTTCTTGTCGGAAGTGTAACTTCATAAATTCTGCTAGTTGGTCACTGCCCCCTCGCTGAGGTGTCCGCCAAAGTGCACGGCTCGTCCCACCGCCTGGACGGGGGTAGAATTTCTCTCCACTTAAGGAAGGGCATTAAAAAGGGCGCAGCCCCTGGGTGCCACGTGCTGCTGAGAGCGGGAGGGAGGAAGGGAGGGAGGGAGAGAGAGAGAGAGAGTTGGAGAGAGCGGGAGGAACGGAGAAAGGGGGCGAGCGGGAGGGAAAGGCGTGGGCACATCAGATTCTTTTCTCCAGCAGGCTGGCAGGCTTCCAGAGGTGCCGCGCCTGCTGCCACCCGGGCCGCTGGAGCAGTAGGCTGGGGCCGCACCGGCCGGCGCGGCGGGCGGGCAGCCGAGTCGGCTCCCTTTTTGTGCCCCCGTCCCGTGCTCATCTTCATCCTCCTTTTGTTTCTTGTTTCTCATCTGGCGCCACCTTTACTGGCAGTTACAGTGCACCCACCTACTGCCGCAGCCCTTATTCTTACCCCTCCATTTCTTTCCCTCCATCCCCCCTCCACCCCTACCTCTCCTTTTCCTTTTCTCTCTCCCACCTCTAAAGGCCTACTTCTCTCCCCTCTCACTACTGGCGGCGCGGCGCTCTGACTTACATTTTACGAGAACCCCTTCATCGGAAAAAAGTTTTTTCGGAAAAATGTCTCTATCTAATGTCGTCACCAACACGCGCAGATGTCCAATGCAACCGATCATATAACCATTACTCTCACCGCTGGGACGCCTCGACACATGTGTCAAAGCGATCAGCGTAAAATCAATTCTGTCGCCTCAAATCGTCGCCCACGATCTCGTCGACGTCCTCCTCGGCCCGCGCGGCGCCGTCCTCAGTGGCAGTGGTGGCCGCCGCCGCCGCCACCGCCGCCGCCGCCCATGCCGCCGCCCTGGAGGAGCCGGAGCGCGGGGATGGCGAAGGCCAGCGTGGACAGCATGAGCGCCTTCCCGACCAGCAGCGCGAGCAGCGACATCTTGACAGGCAGCAGCGACGAGCCGAACACCAGCAGCGGGGCGATGCCGCCGTTGCGCCGCCGACCGGTGAAGGCAGAGGCTGGAGGGGTGCAGAAAAAGAGAATTAGCGGGGACAGGCTGAGCCAGGAGATTAACGCCGGGGAAGGGGTGCCTCTTTGTAAACTGGCCCTCCCCCACCACCACCCGCACCCCCTGCCTTACCAGAACCCACCCCCGTCATTCCGACTGGAATAAGGAACGCCTCTCAAAGGCGTCTTTGAATGCAGTTTGAGTTGGCGGCGGCAGCAGGCGACCCTTGCGCGGCGAAACTTGAAGGTATTGCGGTGCTGCGGTCCGGTCTTCGGCCAGCACCTTTACCCCCAGAGGCGACCCGCCCCCGCCGCCGCGGGAGGACCCTTGAGGACCCCGCGCGCCCAGGGCCCCGAGGGGGACTCGAACCGACCGCCCTCAAATTGCCCTCCGGACTGCATCCTGCCCCCGCCCGCCGCCCCCGCCCGCAGCCCGACCACAGGCGGCCGCAGGGCCCCACAGGGCTTCACAGGGCCCCCGCAGGGCGCTTCAACAGGACCGGATGCCTTTCTCTTTTAGCCACCCGGCTGACCACTCCTGGAGGTGCGGTGGAGGGTAGGGGGGGCGGCGGGGGCTCAAAAGTTTCACAGTGACCTCCTCCTTGTCGTCGGCCACCGCAAAGGACCGCAGTGAGGGGCGCGCGACGGGCCGCGGCGTCCGCATTCTTGTGGAGGGCCCCGCCGGCCTCGCCGCGAACGGCCGTATTGTTGTGGAGCAGCACTCACCGTTGACGGGCGTGTCGATGACCTCCCGGATGGTCCTGGCGCTGGGCAGCTGCAGGCGCAGGGAGTACCCCTGGAGGAGGGTCAGGAGGCGCGAGCCCAGGGCCTCGTCGCCGCCGCCGCCGCCACCGGGGGTGTCCAGCGACCTGAGGCACGTCAAGCGCGGGGCGTGAGATCGGCTGTCCGCTGTCCCACTAACTCACATAACCTCGCGCCGAGGCGCCCGGTCCCCTTACCTCGCGGTCTCCTTGGCGGTCTCCTTGGCGTCCGGGACGAGCACCAGGCCCGCGCCCAGGTTGATCTCGCGCTGCGCCCTGGCCACCCGGTCCAGGGCGCGGGCCGCCATCGTCCTGATGCAGGAGGCCGTGTCCGGGGCGCTCGAGGACGACAGGCAATCCTTCACCACGGTCATGGCGGCCTGCGGCAGCTTCCACGACCAGCCCCCTGCGCGAACACACGACATTGTTCTAAATAAATCATAACGCACCACATGCTAATACAAAACAAAAGGAGAGTGCAATATTCCGAAACTTAGGGTTCTTAGGGACTTTGACAGAATGAAACGCAAAACGAACGTGTGCTTGACATGAACCCATACTGGAAACCACAGGAACATTTAACTTGTTTTGAGGACACGGGACACTGTATGTGCTGTAGTTCAATAAGCTATTTTCATTCAACATGAGGGGAGTTTATTTTTAGGTAACTGTAAAATGCATAGTTTGCTGCATGTAAACTCTGACAAACACTGTCTGACACTGCTGTTGCAATTTCTTTTGTGAATGAAGCCATGCTCTATAAATTGTTAAATGCGATCCACTTTAGAGTGAGATTAGAAGTATTCACATATTACTTATAAGTTCGGCTAAGCGGCATTACACGATTTCTCAATGGTTCTCCTATTGTCTGGCCCACAGCAAAATCTAATCCAGACGATACTCCCATCACAAGGAGGTGCACCATACCAGGGGAACCGAGGTGGCTGATTCACCTTCACCCACACACTGAACGGCATGCACACGTAGGAGTAGCTGTTGAGGCGAACCAGCCACCTTGTGTCGCATACAGGTAGTGCCTAAAAGGCAGAATAACACAATGTAATCCAATGGGTCGATGCAGGAATAGGACACACCGTTGTCCCACTGGTACTAGGTCACTTTCCATCAGTGACACACACACACACACACGCACGCGCACACACAAACACACACGGCACTCACTGTCTTCTTGCTGGCCGTCTTTCAGGTCCAGGTCGTCTCCCCCCTTGCCGTCCACGCCCCAGGGCGCGGCCGAGTCCACGGGGCGGAGGCGCGTGCAGCGGGCCTCCTGCACCAGGACGGCAGCCAGAACCACCGCCACCGAGAGCGCGACGGCGGGTGCGCGACGACGAAAGCGAAACATGGCGGTAGGACGACGCACCACTGCTACCACTGCGGGACGCACAACAGAACTGCGATCCTTGGGCCGGGGGCGGGTCCCTTTATATCAAGGTCTTCCTCGGCCGCCGCCCGCCCCGCGCTGGCCCTGACTTTGGCTTCACTTTTCTAAACGCTGTCATTTGGTGGGCCGCGGGGGGCCGTGGTGGTGGCAGAGCGGGGAGGATGCCCACCGCCACCGCCGCCGCCGCCGAAAGACGACGAAAGCGAAGCCAATCGGTGACGGAGGGGGATGGGTCCTCCGGCGACGTCCTCCCCCTCTCCCAGGTCCCGGGGACGACGACGACGAGTACGCGGCGGTGGTGACGGCGGTGGCGTCTGCTGTCCCGTCCTGTATGACCACCGTATCTCTCGCGCCGGCCCCTTGGACTTACGTCGCCCGCGCCGCGCCGCGCCGCTTTGTCCGGGGCGCGTTCCTGCGGCCGCGCGGCCACCGGACCTCACCGCCAGCCGGACCCCGCGGCGCGTGCCACCGGAAGATGTTAGGGTCGGCGTCGGCGCGAAGAGGAGGGGCAGCCAAACCACGTGCGGACCTCTGCTGTTGGCTCGGGCGGCTCGGGGAAACGCGACACATCTAGCCCTCCACACAACACGATCTGCTTGCAGTGGCACTCGCAATAATAGTAAGTGCCAACCGATGAAACCACCGCATACGGTTTGACATCAGGTTGAGCAGAGAAGGCTCGCGTCGCGTCCTGGTGCTGCTGTTTGTTGCACCGTAGGCCAAGTGCGTCCACTACGCACCAGTGTTCAGTGTTGGCTTGTTTGCCTACCCCCATAGGAGCCAGGGTGTGGCTCACGAGAGATAGGAAGCTGAAATGCAGAATAATGCGAGTAAGAAGAAAACGGAAATCACTATGCTTTCTACATGGGACTTCCGTTTTCTTGTTTTCTGCATTCTTCTGCATTTCAGCTTTACCGGAATGCTCTATTGGACTAGTTGATCGGCCAAATAGCAGCAACGGCAGCATGTAAGGAGGCAGAGCAGCAGCAGCAGCAGGTGAAGTTTTCTCGGCGCAGCCGATCTACACTATTGACATGTTGCCGCGGGCCGCCACCGCCAGCGGCGCTAGCTCAAGCTCCGCAAGCTGCGGTCGCGCCGTCCATTATTTGATTCACTACTTTCTATCACGCCGGCCGGCCGCTGCGGTGAGATGCCGCACGACGCGACGCGTGTCGGGGGAGTGTCGGACGCGTGAGTGACAAGCCCAAGGAAAAGAAGTGGATTACTTATTATTTTTTGTTCCGGCAAATAGAGCTAAGCCGTTTTAAAAAAATAAATAAAAAAATTCTCCTTAGACTGAATATGATATCAAGCGTGTGATAATTATCAGCTGTGATCCCTTCGAGTTTGTTTCAATACAGTTAATCGATTTTCTATTGGGGGTTGAGCGATCTTCCGCCAATACAGTATAATCGAGTGCCCCCACCCCTTTCGAGTTCGGTCGTTGCCGCGTCTGGCTGGAAACAGAGTAATGCGATTGGTGAATCATTCCATGCTGAAAACAACTACCCCCCCCCCCCCCCCCCCCCACCCCTGCCTGACTGACGGCCGGCTCCAGCGCGTCGCGCGGCGCTTGCCCTCCCCGGCCCGGCGCCGCCGCGCCGGCTGGGTAGGCAGCCCAGCGCGCACCCGGGCCGGAGCGGTGGCGGCGGCGGGGGGCCGCGACGCGAACAGCAGACAGGACGCGACGACGACGTCCCACCGCGCTGGCAGTGCGATGCGATTGTGATCATACACCACCTCCATGGGAATAAATAGTGTCAAGCGGTCAATCTGGTTCGTGATGATGATGCGGTGTCCGGCGGGACAGTGTTTGCACAGTTTACACATCGAATAATCATCAATGGCGCTCGTTCTTTGATCGCCCGCCCCGACGCACCCTCTTTCAAAAGCCCATTCCACTCCACACCCCGCACGTCCTTGCTAATTATATCTAACCCTCCCTCTTCTGTCCGCAGGTGAGGCGACCTCCCCCCCCCCTTTTCCCCGCCTGCGCCGCCCTTGCGCGCGCCCTGCTTGCATATTTGAAGGGCGAAGCGAACACAGCAGGGATTCACATGGTCCGAGTTAATAATATCACGGTAGCGTGACTGGGTCCGGGCAGGGCGAGGCTAGGCGGGGCGGCGGGGCGGCGGGGCGGGGCGAAGCGCGGTCTGGTCCTGGTTGACAGCCGATGGAATATGGAGCGACCAGCGGTCGAGGGGACGCGGTGGACAAGTGACGTTACCCTTCCACTAACCCCTTCTGCCCTGCCGTCCCGCGTCGACTGACACACACAGACACACACACACACACACACACACACACACACACACACACGCGCGCGCGCGCGCGCGCGCGCGCGGCACGTGTCGACTGCCCCGCAGTCCGACATCACTCCAAATACTATTACTGTCCTGTTAAAAAGAGTTGTTTTTTCTTTCTTTTATACGATTCTTTTTCCCACGTTGCAGTCTGCCGCCTTGCTGCCTAACTCGGTCGGACACTCTGTCAGTGTGGAATCAAATAAGCACCGCCGCCAATTTTTTTTCACGGTTCAACCGGCCCCACGTGACATTGCACGGCACGCCAACGCGAGCCGCGTCACAGGCGCCAATTACAATTTTACAATTACTGAGTGTCGTGTCCACTTGGACCCTTCACGCCCGGGACAGACTGCGGCCCGAGCTGCGGCCGCCCTATCGCGCCCCACCCCGGTGCTACGGTGGTGGTGGAACGTCATCATTTTTTAACGTCAACTTGACGCGACACAATAACGCTGTCGCGCGAAAATAGAAAAGGAAAAAAAAAAGTAATAACCGATCTTTTTCTAAAACAAGAAAAATCAACAACAACAACATAAAGAGGATGGCGCGACGCGGTGGCGCTAAAGGGAATGAGCAATAAGACTCGGAGGAAAAAGGAGTGCAATGTGTATGTTCTGTGTGTGTGCGAGTAAGAGAGAGAATGAGAGAGACAGTGAGTGCATGTAAGTGTGTGTCGCCGGCCGGCTCGGTCGGGTGACATGTGCCCGCTGTTATATGCCCCCGTTTGGCGGTCCTGGACACGCCCGCCCCCGCCCCGCCGCCGCC